CAATGCTACATTATGTGAAAACAGACTATTTTCTCCATTTGTATTTCTTTTGAGATCTTGCTGCATTTAGGAGTTGTCTTTCAGTACTGCAGAGTAAAACTCTGAGCAAAACATGTCACAATTTAGAGTGACAATGAGCTCACATCTAATTATTTCAGTAGAACATTTGTTCCGCACATCAGTCCACTTATTCTTCATGAGAGAGAAAATCCTCTCTGCCAATCCAGTGGAAGATGGGATGCTGAGTACAAACGATACAACAGGCTGGATGTTGGAGAGGTCAGCTGCCTGAAGAATTTCTATACACTTCTCTGCTGTTCCCTTGGACTGCCACTTTTCCTTCTCTTGAGGTCCTTTGGTGAGGGGCTCCAGAAGGCTGGTTGCAGTGACACACTCGTCATAAAGCTCATCCATAGAGATGTTTAACCTGCCAATGGAGATAAGAAGTAAACCTGGGTTATAAGCACCACATAGAACACTTACAGTGGTAAATAAATGGAAAACATTTATTGTATATTTATTACATTGTATAGCTTTTATACAATACAATAGTTCACTTTATTTATTATGTATTTATCCATCCTTTTAGTTTAAAATTATCCAAACAACATATAAACCAAGACAAGGCTACATCGAAACTAAACACCCAAGTTAAAAAAAAATAGAAAAACTAATGACAAAACAGAAACAGACAACAAAAATAATAAAAATAATAGTAAACAAGCCCCAACACAGTGGGTTTTTTTCTTCATATAAATACCTTCACTTTAACCAGAGGGTTTAAATAAGCAATGTTTACTTACCATATCTGCTTCTGCCGTGGCCTTGTGGACGACAAACTGATCGAGGGTTCCCCGTAATTTCACATCCTTTATGTTTTTCATGTGGCTACTACTAGACGCATGTTGCTTGAGGTCAGTGAGTCCACCATGCCCTTTGGAAAAACTGCGCCGGTACACGGTGCAGTGCGCTTTATAGGTGTTATCGCGCAGTTTTTCCAGCCAGGAATTTTCCTTTTCCCATTCCTCCCTGTATTTTTGAAGCCTTTTTTCTTCTTTCTCGGAGGGGTACTGTCGTCCGAGACTTGTACAGCAGTGTCGGCGTTAGTTTCCTGGTTGGCCGTGCTGTTTGCTGTCGTCTGTTTTCTTCCGGTATCTTCTCCCCAAGCGACCGTTCCTCGACCAATGAAATAAGCGGTAATCTGTATCGTCATATTCGTGTGTAAGCATGCGGTCAGTTCATTGGTCACAGAGCAGGCGAAGGGCTGGCTTTCAAACAAAGCGTTAATTCCGGTAATAGACTACAGACTAATTTTGATCCATACTATATTACGGGACAAAGTGCGTCCCTTTTGAGTTCAATACGGGACGTGCACTTGTGTTTCTAAATACGGGACAATTCCGTTTTTCAAGGGACGGCTGGCAACCCTAACTTCAAGCCTGGCAGCAAACCAGGGATTCAGTTGAGCACAAACTTTGTTTTTAATAGACCAGATGAGGGAACACCTGGAAAAGGATGGCGACGGTTGCCCCAAAACTCTGAAAGAGCTGAATATGAGGCTGAAAAATAGTAAAGGCAACAATAAAACCTGTGGAAACCTGTTGTAGAAAAGTTGTCCTTGCATTTTGTAGAGAGCTTTCACCCAGACAAAGTAGCTAGGAAATGGAACACTTTGGTGGACGCCTACAAGAAAGTAAAAGACAACAATAAAGCCCCCTTCAGACAGGCCATGAAAAACGGAAATGTTCCGGAATCTGTCCGTAAGACCTTTCTGTCTGAATACAAACATCCGGATAACGTGTTCCGGAATGTATCCGGACAAAGCCCCTAGTAACAGGTCCGGACTTGTTACGGACAGGGTGGCTGATTCAGACTGGTGAGGTAAAGTTCCGGACAAGAGGGAGGGGGAGGAGGAGGGGACCGGGGGACGCTGTGCGCACCTATATAGCCCGCTGCTGTAGCATGCGGCGAACCACGGCAGCTCGCCTCCTACGGTACCGTCTAGACGCGCGACAGAGCGCTTCACACCGCTTCAGTTATCCGTTTAACCATTGAGCTTCATCATCCAGGTCTCTTATGCATCTTCGTGTGCGCAGAATTATGCTTAAGCGCCTCGTGATTTTTATCTTGAGAGGCACTATAGAAATGATATTTTCTTCTTCTTCTTCTTAACATGAGTCCGATCCCCCCACCCCCCCCCCCCACCCCCCCACCCCCCACCCCCCACCCCCCGCCGCCGTCGTCAGACATCTGGAACTTTTCCCTGCTGTGTGAACGCAGCCGAAAAGACAAGTTCCGGTACAAAAGTTGTGTGTCTGAAAACACAGTTCCGGTTAAAAACCGGATTGAATTGTCCGCAAATGTTCCAGAATGTCTGTCTGAAAAGGGCTTAAGAGTACAGGGAAAGGAGCTGTGCCATTTCAGTTTGTTGAAGAGATGGAGCAGCTGTTAGGGGGCCAACATGACGTTGTCTTTCCAGTAACTGGAAATAAGACATAAGAATAAGACAGCAATAAGAAATAGTTCTTTGAATCTGATTCTTTAGCTTTACATGATAGTTTGTGCAATATTTTCATAAATCCTTACTCTTTGTGTGCAATATTTTCATTAAAGGTGACTAAATGTGTTCTGTCTTACAGTAAAGATTGTAAACTTTTTAAAACTGTTTGTTGACCTTTCTTTATTTTTATTAAATGTTTTTACTTCTAATATTGTGTCCAAGTCTGTTCTACATTACCAATGACAACAGCCTCATCTTTATTAAGTGTAGTTACCTTATTAAAAGAAAGAAACCATCTTTTATAAAGCGCCTCTCAAGATAAAATCACAAGGCGCTTCACAAAAACAAAACATTTAAATATAAAAATATTTTTATAAAGTGGTAAAAAACATGTTTGAAATGAGATTATTTCTATCCCTTTAAAAAAAGATTGGAGAATGGCACAACACACAATGAAGGTTGAAAATCCTGACCAAAGACTCAACCAACAGCAATATGCTGAAAGAGGAACACCTACCTTCTTCGTCTTTGTCTCTCTTCCAATATTCTTTGAAGATGAGCTTTATGTGTGTTTATGAGTTGTCTGTGTTCGTTGAGGTCTAACAAAACAGCAGTTTTCGAGGGCGTCGCCATATTGGAATCCTGACTTCTCCGTCTCCGGCAACCAGAACACTGTTAACTCAGGTGTGACGTCATTCCCAATTTCAACTTCCGAGGAAAATCAAACGCACCCTGAGAGTCGGCAACTCGAGTCTGCCCCAGACACCGCATGGGCTGTAGCAAACAGCTGTAGCATGTAATTTACAAATGCTTCTGTATTTCAATACAGCTTAGATTGGATTATGTTGCCAACCTGTACATAATACAATAGATAAGCCACCATTACATTGTTACTGGTAGTTATTAAATGTTATTATAATTTCCAGAAGCTTGCTGCTGAACACGTGACTGAAATACATAAATTGTACTGATTATATGTGACTTTAGATATGTTTAGACTAAGATGAGTGATGGTAAACCTTCACTAAACGTCATGAGTGATAAAGGAAGCCATAGAGATAAGGAGACGTGGATGCGAGACCATGAACAGAGACGATGGGGTCTACACATTGGATCGTGCATGGGACTGTGTCATCAGTGAGGGGAGAGTGGGCAGCAGAGGGCGACAACGCCCTCTGCTGCCCGCGGATAAACGGAGTAGGAAGTGACGCCACCATCAGAGTCAGCTCTGAGGAAGTTTACAGCCACGAACGAAACTGTCAGCAAGGTTAAAAAAACCTTTTCTGTGTTTTAAAAAAGAACCAAAAATGCAACGTCATACTAAAACAAGTCACTTTAGTGTTAACCCTCTCAGGCTCAAAATAAGTTTTGATAAAAGGACGAACAACTAAGTCCTTCAGGGGAACTTCTGAGTTAAAAATGGTCATGAAGTACGTATGTGGAGTAACCAGGTAGGTAGGTTTTTACGTTGCTAATCTGCAACGCCTGCCTCCAGAGGGTTAAACAAATTATTAAATCTGAAATCAGCTTTACCCCCAAATTCCACTACCTCCGCTCCGCTCCGACACGAACGCCGGAGCAAAATTGGTCCCGTTGTAGTCAATCAGAGCTATTCCACTACTGCGGCCGTGCTCCGGCAGTGCGCTGCCCTCTGTTCCGGCGTCGGGCAAAAATAGAATCGATCTTATTTTTGCCGGACGCCGGAGCACCTCCGCAGTAAATGGACAGAAATCACAACAGCCCAACAGGAAAAGGAGCAAGCACAACTTCCGTTTTTCACAATAAATCGATAAACAAAAGGCGTTTTTTGTTTCATATGCACAGGTTTAACAACTTTTAACAACTATCAATGGCGGCTGAAGTTTAAATGCACAAAAGTAAGCCATAAATACAGTTTCTACTATCAAAGTAGTCACACTTTGTTGATCCAAACACTGCTGATCTCTCAACACAACTGATGGGCAGATTAAACAGTTCATGCCGATGCTTCTCCCACACAACGGGTGTTTGGATCTAACATCCGCGTTTATTGCTCGGACTGTATTGCAAGATCTCGAAAATCCCGCGCATGCTTGTTTGCCCACCTCAGGTCTCCGCACCGGAGCGGGTACCAGTAAAAATTGAGTTCGGAAGCGAGTGGCTGCGGAAGGCGGGGGCGGACCGGAGCGGAGGTAGTGGAATTTGGGGGTTAGTCTTCAGTTTGTTCTCAATGTGCATGGCAAAACGGATGGTGGCCCTCGGTAGTTTAGAAACTCTGGATACTGCCCTGCTACTGTCTCTCTCAGAAGCAAACGCGAAGCACCGCAGCTAGAGAGGAAGAAGCCTGACCTTTCAAAATAAGGTAAAATTTTACGTTTCATGATATTTAAATTATTTCAAACTACGATTATGGTTGGCATAAATGCGCAAATATATGCTATATATGTGTCACGCCTTACGTTGTTGTACAGTAGTGTAACGGGTTGCGACTTGTTATGGTTGGACTTTTATGTTGAAGGGATGTTCTTGGCCGGCTGTGTGCAGAGTTCCGGTTCGGTTGTTTAGAAGAAAACGAGCTAGTGTGATCGGAGATTGTTAACGGTGTTTCGTTAAGACGTGGGCTGCGGCCAACAGTAACCCGGAATAAAGATCCGAAACGGAAACAACAAGTTGGAGTCATTACCATCTCTTAGAAAAGGCAACAAAAGTGTGTTTTATAGGTGTGGTGGCTTTTGTTGAGCCATGGCGGTGCGACACGAACTAGATTAGCCCAGCAGAAAGGCCCCGCGGCTGGCTGGACCCAGCTCGACGCAGCAGCAGAGCGGTAAGCTTCATATCACTCTAAAATGTCGGCTAACTTTACTGTACACGTTCATTTACGGGCATTAGCAGCGTGGTAGCATTAGCATCCGACCTGCTAACGCTAGCACAACATGCTAGTAAACGCAGATTAATGTGGATTCGGACGATTTTAGTGGAATAAAACGTGATCTGGGAATTGTGATGAACGCCTTTTTACACCAGATGATAACCTTCCACTGATTGCAGCAGCAGAGCGCCTGTGTGTGTTACTCCGTGATTGTGATGTGATGTTAGCATCCAGTAAATAAATCCCATATCAGCTAAAGAGCATGGCGACTAAGTGGTTAAAGTGCGTCAGCACAGCGGATTTAATACGAGTTTTAAAGAACAATCTCTGAGTGAAGTGAGGCTAGTTTTTGTCTCTCTGCAGGAATGTAGCATTATGAAACGCATGCTCCAATTTTATTGGTCTAGAGCAGTACGCCCTCCGTACGTAGGAGGGCGCTGCTGCTATAAAAGGGGAGCTCTTCCGGTAAGGAAGTAGATTCGGGAAACAGCTGGTGCCATTATGCCGCTGCGTTTTGGTGCTGCCTTTTTTTTTCAATATAACTTTATTTAGCACATTTTGAACATACAATTGTAAGACATGAATAGGGTTGTCACGGTAACCGGTATAGCGGTAAACCCCGGTAAAAAAGTTGACAATAAAAATAACCGTCCAGTTTTTAAAAACCTATATTATCTCGGTGGGTTTACCGTGGCCGCGGTTTCGGCGCGATGACCCTTACCAGCCACCGTCGCTTCAGCTGAAGTTCCCGCTGCGCGCACACGCACTTTTTAATTTGCAACGGCACCAAAACTTTGAAGCTGAAATAATGGCCGAAGGAGGCGACGGCAGCGCCCAGGACATCCATCAGCCCTCAAAGAAGACTAAATCGGAAGTATGGGCATATTTTGGATTTCTGAAAAATGCTGAGGGACAGTTAATAGAAGACGGCTATCCCGTTTGCAGAACGTGCAGGAAACAAGTGTCTGCAGAAGGCAGCAACACTTCAAATCTCATGGCACATCTGCGTGACGATCACCCACGTCTCCACAGCCAGTGCAAGGTAAGTTAACATTAGCATTTTAGCTGAAATGCATGACGTGAGGACTTTTGGTTGAGGGAGAATGCAACGAGTCACTATATACTGCAGCCGCAGCGTCCTCTGCCAGCATTTAAACCGTGTCACGGACACCCTGTTGCTGGATGAAGCATCTTATTTGTTGATGATGAAGAGAAATATACAATTAGTTCCTTGTCATGGATTTGTTTACTTATTCAATGCCATTTATACTTGAACATTTGGATTTGATTACATAGTGTAGTAGTTATTTTAGTAATTTGTTTAAAGTGGATATTTATTTTAAATACATATTTTTTTAAGGTTGACTTGTACGGTGCTCAAGTCAAGTGTGGACTGGAGTTTTAGATTTTCATTTTGATAATGAAGAAAACAAGTATATGAGAAAACAAGTGGTGTTTCTTTGATTTGTTTACATATTGTTTATGTTTTGAATGTTTGGATTTGTATAATTTAAACCTGCACTGACTACTGTAACATGTTCCAGAAAAATAAGCTATTTGTTCCTTTACTTGTGAAAAGTTGCACTTTTGCTAAGGCTTTGTGTTATTTTAGGTTTAATAAACACTGTTAAACCTTTTCAGAACTATTTCAGTTTGTGTAGAACAGGACTATCAATGCTTTCTGAACATATGCAACACCGTTTAAAAAATACCGCGATAATACCGAAAACCGTGATAATTTTGGTCACAATAACCGTGAGGTTAAATTTTCATACCGTGACAACCCTAGACATGAAACACATAAAGTATACCATTGTGGTATTACAACGAAGAACGACAGAAATAATGGAGACATGGAGGAAAACGAGAAAAAAAAGAAAATAAATAAATAAAAGAAAGGTTTGGAAGAGGTCAAGTCAATCGAACAGTTTCAGATTGTTGCAAATGTTAACAGACTTAAGAGCCTTGGTGTTTTTTGATGAGGAGATCGTCCTTATATATTGTTCAAGTTCCATTTTTAATACAAGAAGTTAAGGTTTTTTGCCGAGGACTTTGCTTTTGTGTATGTGAAATTTAGCCAAAAATAAAAACATATTTACAAAGAAGAAAGCATTGTTGTCCTTCTTATTAAAATTATGAAGACCAAAAATAACATCTTTGTAGTATAGTTGAAAGTTAGGGAGAACAGAGTCATTAATAAACTTGTGGAAGTCCTTCCAGAATTTACTTGTAAATTTACATGACTAGAACAAGTGAGAAGCTGTTTCAGGTTGCTCTTGACAAAAGGTGCAACTTACATTTATATCAGCTATAAATTTTAACAAATATTGTTTGGTAGGGTAAAACTTGTGAATCAATTTAAATGTAATCTCTTTAACTTTGTTCGTTAAAAGAAATTTTTGTGGTAAGGTCCAAACTTTTTTCCATTAAATATCTGTTACAAAATTAGCCCAATAAGATATGGTTGATGGAACAGAAATCATTGTATCCTGAAAGAGAGTTCTTATTTTGCTATTCACCGACTTATGCGAGGAAAAACAAATGTTGCCAAGAGAAGAATGTAACACATCCGGGCGACTGACTGATAGTGGAGCGCTGTGTGAGCATCTGAACAACATAGACAGACCGGATGGGATGGCATCAAACACTATTGAGAATTCTCTAGGCGTTATTGGTATATTGTATTTCCTAAGGAATTCAGAGTAATTGTATAAAAGCCCTTTTTCATCAAATAACTGGCTAACCAAGATGATTCCATTATTAAACCAGTTATTTAAAAAATAGTTTTATTTTTATAAATAATATTGCAGTTATTCCAAATAAAACAGTTTTGCGGGGAGAAGTTGTGTTTGTAAATCAGTGCCCATGCCAAAAGAATTTGTTGATGGAAGTGAGAAAGTTTTAGTGGTATTTTGGGAATGCTGTAATTGCAGAGCAGTAGGAAGTTAAGGCCACCTAAATTAGAAAATACATGATGTGAGATAAAATTCCAGATAGAAGTGGGATTTTTTAAATACTTTTTAATCCAGTTTATTTTAAAGGTGTTGTTAAGAGCACCAAAATCAATAAAGTTTAAACCTCCTTTATCATATGGATTTAAAGCTACTGACTTACGAAAGTAGTGGGTTTTATTTTTCCATAAGAAATTGTATAACAATTTGTTAATTGCTTTACAAATTGTATTGTCAACGTGTAGTGACTGTGCAGCATAGGTTAGACGGGAGATACCCTCAGCTTTTGAAAGCAGAACCCTTCCTTTTAACGATAGGTCTCGCTGAAGCCAACAATTAAAGATTTTTTGGGTTTTTCTATAATAGGAGTAAAGTTCTTGAAGCATCTGGATTGCTCATTTTTTATTATTTGAATTCCAAGGTATCTTACAGAGTTTTTTACAGGTATTCCATGGATTGAAGTTGCAGAACAATTTTTGACTGGTAGCAGTTCACATTTATGTAGGTTGAGTGAAAGTCCGGAGGCTTTAGAGAATGACTGTATAATGTCGATGGCCACTGAAACTTGCGAGACATCTCTTAGAAAGAGAGCTGTATCATCTGCCAGTTGACTTATTAGTATTTCTTTATTAGCTATGATCAGACCTTTTAAAGAACTGAGTTTAATGTGTGAATTAAGGAGTTGCACAGAGAGAAGGAATAAATACACCGAGAGGGGGCAGCCCTGCCTCACTCCACGTTTTAGAGAGAATCTTGGGGAAGTACCGGTGGGAAGCTTTATGGAGCTGTTACTATTAGAATACAGTGTACGAACAGCATTACAGAAGGATTGGCCAAACCCAAATTTGTTCAGGGCAGTAAAAATAAACTCGTGCTCTAAGGAATCCAACGCCTTGTAAAAATCTAAAAAAAGAATAATACTATCATCCTGTACAAGTTCTGGGTAATCCATAATATCTAAAATTAACCTTATGTTGTTGGAGATATGACGATTCTGCATGAATCCAGACTGACTCTCGTCGATAACTTTATTTAACACAGGCTTTACTCTATTAGCCAGAACTTGTGCTAGTATCTTATAATTGTTATTTAGCAAAGAGATTGGACGCCAGTTGTCTAAGAGCAAAGGATCCTTCCCCGGTTTGGGAATAAGCGTGATCAATCCTTGACATAAAGTGGGAGGGAGTGCACCTCTGTCCATGCTTTCCTTAAAGACTCCTAAAAGAAACGGGGCTAAACTGTCAGAGAACTGTTTGTAAAACTCTGCAGTAAGACCATCAGTTCCCGGTGATTTGTTCACCTTTAGATGTTTTATAGCCTCTGCAACCTCCATCAAAGAAATTGAACTATCACAAAGCTGACTTTCCTCCTTACCCCGGGTTTCCACGGGAGCCGTCAGCAGCACGTTACTGCAGCAGCACGTCTTGCTCGCGTAAACTGCTGCTTGGCCCTTTCCACGAGACGCGAATCAGCAGGGGAGCAGCTGTCACCGACAGAGCACGAAGTCTCACGAGTGACTTCGTCAGTAAACACAACAACAAGCAGGAGAAAACTACAACATGGCTCCAAAATGTTTGTGTTTTTATGTTCTGTCCGTTTTATAATCGCCAATACGGACCTGAAAAACAAAGGAGACCGCTAGCTAGGTGATAACTTCTCACGGGGCCGCACAGTTAGTAACCTTTTTTAAAGTAAAGCGACCGGAAGGCAGTACGTTCTTTATTCTGAAAATCTCGGGAGCTTCTCTCCATTTCCGCGTCCAATTTCCTGTCTTTCCTTCCCCAAAAATGTCGAACTTGACCCGTTTCAGAGGCGTCGCGCGTAGGAAATAGAACCGGCGCGTAAAGGCCGCGACATGCTGCTCCTGAGACGCGTCCGACTTGCGCTGCTGACGGCTGCCGACGGCTCCAGTGGAAAAGGTTCTGTTGACCACAGCCGTTCCTATCAGCAGCTATGACGTGCTGCTGCAGTAACGTGCTGCTGACGGCTGCTGTGGAAAGCCGGGGTTACTCAGCTGAGTAATAACACCAATGGAATTTAAAAAAGTACGAGTAGCTTGTGGGCAATAACTAGAGGAATAAAGTTTGCAATAAAAATTTGAACAATATTTTGCTATTGCATCCTTATCATTTGAAATTGTTCCATTAATATTAAGTTGTAGGACAGAGTTGGTGTTGGACTGATGTTTTTCAAGTCGGAAAAAATAGGCCGAATTCTGCTCTCCTTCTTCGAGCCACTTTCTGCGAGACCGAATAAATGCTCCTTTAGCTTTGCGTTTGTAAATCTCGTCCAATCTATGCTGCAGGTCAACCAGTTCTATCTTATCAGATCCATTCAGGGTGTCTGTTGGTTTGGAAGTAAGGTATGTAATCTTCTGTATTACTTGTGCCTCATCAAATCTTCTTTTTTTGCCAACTCACTGCTGTATTTTCTAAAGAATTTTCCAATTTCATATATCAAAAGTTCCCAGTTGCTACAAAATGTATTATCTGTGAGAGCTTTATCCCAATAAAGTTTAATTAATCTATGAACTTCGTAAATTACTTCTTTATGCTCCAGGATAGTACTGTTTAGCTTCCAGTATAAAGTATTAGTGGCAAGGGAGGATGACAATGGGATTGATAAACTAACCATTTTGTGGTCTGAGAGTGGTGTAGGATGAATATCAGTTTTAACTTTTTCTAAATGTTTTGAAACAAGCCAATAATCAATGCGTGAGCTCCTGGTCTGAGTGTTGTTACACCATGTATAAGCTATTTGAGATGGATGTGAATCCCTCCAAGAATCAACTAAGGTAAATCTTTGTGCAAACAATCTTATAAATGAGTCAGAGTCTGAACTTCTAGGGGGCCACCGATCCAAACTATTGTTAAACACTGTGTTAAAGTCTCCACCAAGAATTATAAAAGAATTGGGATATTTAGACAACCAGCGTAGTAAGTGCTCCTCCAGCCTGTCAAAATATAATTTGTTCTCCCTCTGACAGTTAAAACCATACACATTGATTAAAATATAGATAGAATTTGCAGCCTCAATTATTAGAAAAATGTAGTGACCATTTTTATCAATATCAGAATTCAGAATTTTACCATTAAATCTCCCTTTAAGTATACAAACACCAGCAGCCCGTTCTGTACCATGGGACATCCACAGATCATCTCCCCATTGCGATCTCCAAAATGTTTTTTCTTGTTCTGTTGAATGAGACTCTTGTATAAAACAGAAATCTGAGTTGAATTGCTTGCAAAACAAAAAGATAGCTTTACGTTTAACACTGTTTCTTAGACCTCTTGCATTCAAAGAAATAACAGACAAAGACATAAGGACAATAACAAAAAATAAGAGTGACAAATAAGATAAGGTTTAGACCAAGTAAGTGAAGAAAAGTTGAACTGGAAACCTGGTCACTTAAGAGAGTCCTATATAAGATGAGAACTGTAACCTTTGAATAAGTAAATTGTGAACTTGAGTAATAACAATAGGAACTCAATAGCCTAAGAAAACAGAACCAATGTAGTAGACAGAGAATGCTTCACATATGAGCACTTAAGGAGGAATCACATTAGTGATTATTTTGCTCCATTCAAAAAACAAATTATTTGAAACGGATAAAATAAAAAAGAATCTTGTTCAGCTTGCTCATAACAGTTACCATAGAAATGTTGCAGCAAAACTCAATACCAATAAATCTAAAACATTAGAAATGCATCAGTTTAACCCTGATCGTTTAATAAATTCTATAAGAAAAGAGAATAGCAAAGTAACTAAGTTAACCTTCAGTTTTTTTTTTTTTTTTTTTTTTAAATCTCAAATACCTTAGGTCAAATTATAGGGGGTGGAAAGATTTCTTTTCCCTCCACAAACGCACGTCCTCCAACGAAGAACGCCAGCTTGTTTGCTTTGCGCGCAGCTTCAACAGCTGGCCAAAGTTTGTTTCTCCGAGCGCGGTCGTCAGGAGACAGATCTTCAGCTAGCTTCAGGTTATTATTTTTCAGGAAGGCAGACTTCTTGGCAGCGCGCCAGACAGCATCGCGGTAGATCCTGGATGTAAACTGGATGATGACTCCTCTGGGTTGGTTGTTATTGTTGGATTTCTTGGGGCCGATGCGGTGGACGGTATCAACGACGTCGGGGAATTTCACCTGCTCCTCCGGCAGGACTGTTCTGCAGACTTTGATGACCTCCTGTCGGACGTCCTGCTTCTCTCCCTCGGGCAAACCGTAGAGCTTCAAATTCCAGCGACGTGAGTAGTTCTCCAGGTGGGAGATGCGCTTTTCTTGTGTTTCCGCATTTGTTTTATATTGTTCAAGCTGTGATTCGACATCAGCAATTCTGCCCTTCATATCATTTAGCTCAGCGCAGACAGCATCAAACGACTCCTTCACCGCCGTGATGTGTTTGGTGTTCTCTTGGACAGCTTTTTTCATCTCGGAGATGACTACAGAGTTGCCACTCACCATTTTTTCAATAGTGTCCGACCTCGAGTTAATCAGCATGGTGAGTGATGAGAGCTGGGAGAGAACCGTAGGTGTCTCCATATCCGTAACTCTTCTTAGCTTACCAGCGGGAGAGGCACATGGAGTGATAGGAAGAGGGGGAAACTCTTCCTCCATCCGGTTATGTTGAAGAGGCTCGGAAACTGCCTCCAAATAATCGTGCATGGAGTCGATGAGAGTATTTTTAGTGTTGGCGGGCTTCTCAAGAGTAAGAGGCTGGGTAGCTTGGCTAACATTAGCGTGTTTGCTAACGGAACTGCTGTTAGCTAGCAGCTTTTTAGTTTCGGTCTTTCTCTTCTCAGGTTTACTCATTTTGGTTGAAAAAATACTTAAACTCGGAGTAAAGTATGATTATTGCATAGGCGCAATAAAAGTCTTTGTTCACTGTGTGTAATATATTAAAGTAAAGCTAGGTTCAGGTTCGCAGAGCTCAACGATAAGTGACTGCTCAGAGTGCCATCTTGGCAACCACTCCGTTTTGGTGCTGCCTGTCACTACCCGATCCGTACAGGAAACCCGATCGGTACCACGCATGCGCGAAAGGCGTCTACTTCCGCTCGAAGCATTTTACGATAGTTACGGGTCAGAGTATCTGTTAAGATGTTAAAAAATAATAAGTATCTATTAAAATGTTTGCAATAGTGAAACATTTCAATATAATGTAGATAAAAATGGAAAAAAAAAGAAAACGTCAGACCACACAGATCGGGTCTACCTGATCCGTACCGCGCATGTGCAGATGTTCTATTCTTCTTGTGATCCGTTCAATGGCAGTTTACTCCGCAGTGTACGAGGATACTGCCACTTGCTGACCGAGCGAATTAGCCCGATTGTAAACTAAATTTGCGTTGTTACAAATCGTGTTTTATATGTGTGTTAAATTTGATTTAGTGTGTTTATGCTTGTATGTGTGGAGACGATTGATTTGAATTATCTTGATGTTCTGTTGATAATGTCCACTGTAAATTGTCAGTAAACACTGGCTGATTAGTCTTCAGGTAACCTATTACATGTTTGTTTTTTCTCCACACAATAGGTTATATTTTCATTTAAAAGCTGAAAATGTGTCACTGTGATACAGCAGATATTCTTAATTTGCACTACATGTCCTATGAATGTTTTCCAATATGAAATGTAATATATTCTTGCACAAAAGCCAATTTGGCTCATCACCTAAAATTTGTTTACTTTCTACTTTTGTGTTAGATTTCTTAGTTTGCCACTTTGTCTTGAAATAACTTAATTCTTTGTAATACCATAGTGATCATTTTCACAATGTTGCAAAATTAATGTTTGAAAATAGTTTCTCAAGGTATTCGTAGGTTAAACATGTTAAATACAGATTTAACTACACTCATGTTTATATCCATATAAAATAACACAGGACCACTTTATAATTTCCACAGGTTTACTGTAATAATGCGGAACACAAACAACAGATTACAAGAGCATGAACAACAGAAAAAGGATTGAGAGGATGGTTACAACCCAGATTATTTGAATAAGGAGACACATATTGATGGAAATAAAGCTTTTTATTTTCAGCCTGTCCTTTCTGGCAGTGTGGTACTCTGAGTACCAGGTACAAGCCCAACAGATTCACTTTCTCAAACAGAGTGTGACAGTGTGTGTCCTGTCACAGTGTCCTGATTGATCATGCGCCCTGGCTACTTGGCCAAGGGGATGTCCCTTTGGCTGACTGGTTAGAGCGTATGACTCTCACCCGGGAGTCTGGGGGTCGAATCCCGCCCGGGCCCTCGTTTATCCACCTTGCCACAAGAGCATTACAGTTTTTGCTCTAGAACTCCAAGAAGAATGATCAAAAACTCTCACAAAGAAAAACAGGCATCAAAACACAAACCAAGGTGTGGGAGAACCACTGATGGGGAACCTGGTCACTACAACCAGGGTGGTGTGTGTGTGTTCTTGTACATACTACATACTGAGGACCATTTTGACCATTTTCCCTACAAAGTGAGGACATTTTTTGGTCCTCGCTTTTTTTAGAAGCATACCAGAAGCTTACTATACCAGTTAGAGGCATAGTGTGAATTAAGTTTTAGTTAAGGTTAGGAAAAGATCAGCGTTGGTTATGGTTAGGGTTGGGGTATGGGTTAGGCATGGTGAAATCACAAAAATGAATGGAAGTCAATGAAGGGTCCTCACTATGATAGAAAGACAGACGTGTGTCCGTGCGTGTGAGTGTGTGTGTGCGTGTGTGGTTGTGTGTGGAGACGAGGGCGGCGACAGAGCAGACACATTAACTGTTCATTTGGCTGCAAAAGTGGCTGCAGTAGCCTGGGAGCATCTCCTCCGAGTAAAGTGCCCTTAGTTCTCCTCTTTTTCCTCTGCCAACGTATCCTGTAATAATAATAATAAAAAAAAAAAAATATATATATATATATATATATATCAACCAGAGAAGAATAGGCTCCAAGTGGTATGGTTTTCATGATGTCATCAGGGGTGGACATTAACTTCAAAACCAACCGGCCAGCCGGGCCGGTAACTCTGAATATTTACCGGCCCCGCCAAGAATCTACCGGCCCCGCTGGTCAGCTGCCAAAACGAGTCGAAATAACAACTGAACCGTTTTAAATGTAATAAACCTTTATTTTGTACACATTCACAAACATAATAACGTATTCAAGTTTGAATTTGTTTGTTCCCTCAACAAAACACGATTTTGTCGTTGCATACTTCCGGCATACAACGAAGTACATCACCAACTCCGCTTTGCTGTACTCGAGCCATTGGCTGTGTTCGAGATGAGCCAGTTCTGTGCAGATTAGACCAGCAGTGATTGGCGAGCAGTGCATGCCGGTTAGATTTGTGTCCGAATTGACGCCGACTTGCTCTGACGTCATGCATACGTAGGCAATGATAACCTCGTGAGATCAAGGCGGCCGCAGATTTTGGAGCAAAGTGCTGCAGTTGCTCTCCCTCGGCTGCAAAACCTAGAGGATGACAGGAAACGCCTGGCTCTCACCTGATCTAAGATCTGATTGGTTCATATTTTGATCCAAACATCCGGTGGTAGAACATGAAATGTTAGTTGTTCACATGTATTCTGTAAATCATGTAACATTGATGATGACAACTATATAGGCCATAAAGAGAAATGTGTTATGTTTTCTTTTGTCACGTTTCCTATGAGCACACTGAACCTACAGCTGATAACCTTTACTTATTATTACAGTCATGTCTCCATATACAATATATGATATCCACAAGCACGTGAGGGTGTGTTTCAGCTGCTAACAGGCACCAGAATTAAAATTGAACAAGCGTGAATGCTAACGCGATATCCAAGAGATTCAACTGGCAGAAACAACTGGTTCACACCATAGTCTCTCTCTCTCTCTCTCTCTCTCTCTCTCTCTCTCTCTCTCTCTCTGTCTCTCTCTCTGTCTCTGTCTCTCTCTCTCTCTCTCTCTCTCTCTCTCTCTCTCTCTCTCTCTCTCTCTCGCAGAGGAAAAGAGCTGAGAAATGGCAGAGAGGAAATGGAGGACACCAAGTAGTTAAAAGAAAAACTACAGCTGAGCCGAGGCGCTCCTCGAATGGGGCGCGTCTGATCTGAACTGAGGAGCGGCGATCAGCGGCCGAATTCCGTGAGCGATTCGCTTCTCGGCGCTTCGGGCACTTCCGCGGCCGGTGTGTCCCCGGCGTTAAACGCCGGCTTTCAGCCACTCCCCCTGCTGCTCTCGTCTGTTTCCCAGGCGATGCGCTGCTCAACTCGAACACGGCCATTCTCTGCGCCTCCCGTCTTCTTTAAACCACCAAGAATCATTCCACCTACGCACACGCTTCTCTGCTTCATACCGTTTCGAACTGTCTCGCTTCCCCTCACCAGTTTTAAAGCGTTTTAACGGAGATTTAATCAAGAAATCCCATCCCTGTGGTGGCGCGATCTTCCTGCGTGCTTGTGTGTTTCTAGCGTGGTTCCACTTTGTCTTTAATAGTGAACTTATAGTTCACGTGACTATAACTAGATGAATTGTACAAGTGCAGTACATGGCTAGAGGCGCGCAGGTTCACTCGCGCGAAACGAAAACTGCGGCTTCCTACAGGGCGGGGCCATGATGTAGGTGAAAGCCGGTGTGTAAATGACAAATAAGGCTTGGGCGCCACCCGGGCGGTAAGTCGTCAAGTATTTACCGCCCGACGAGAAAATTTAGCACCATTGGCACTCGGGCGCTTTAAAGGTCCACCCCTGTGTCATGCATCATTGAGATTTTTATTGTATGTAATGACAACAATATAAGATTATAGAGTGTTGCATACCTCCGGGGCAGTGTTTGTATTGGTCTCCACATTGAAGGCAGATCTCAGTAGAATATAGGGTTGTCACGGTATGAAAATTTAACCTCACGGTTATTGTGACCAAAATTATCACGGTTTTCGGTATTATCGCGGTATTTTTTAAACGGTGTTGCATATGTTCAGAAAGCATTGATAGTCCTGTTCTACACAAACTGAAATAGTTCTGAAAAGGTTTAACAGTGTTTATTAAACCTAAAATAACACAAAGCCTTAGCAAAAGTGCAACTTTTCACAAGTAAAGGAACAAATAGCTTATTTTTCTGGAACTTGTTACAGTAGTCAGTGCAGGTTTAAATTATACAAATCCAAACATTCAAAACATAAACAATATGTAAACAAATCAAAGAAACACCACTTGTTTTCTCATATACTTGTTTTCTTCATTATCAAAATGAAAATCTAAAACTCCAGTCCACACTTGACTTGAGCACTGTACAAGTCAACCTTAAAAAATATGTATTTAAAATAAATATCCACTTTAAACAAATTACTAAAATAACTACTACACTATGTAATCAAATCCAAATGTTCAAGTATAAATGGCATTGAATAAGTAAACAAATCCATGACAAGGAACTAATTGTATATTTCTCTTCATCATCAACAAATAAGATGCTTCATCCAGCAACAGGGTGTCCGTGACACGGTTTAAATGCTGGCAGAGGGCGCTGCGGCTGCAGTATATAGTGACTCGTTGCATTCTCCCTCAACCAAAAGTCCTCACGTCATGCATTTCAGCTAAAATGCTAATGTTATCTTACCTTTCACTGGCTGTGGAGACGTGGGTGATCGTCACGCAGATGTGCCATGAGATTTGAAGTGTTGCTGCCTTCTGCAGACACTTGTTTCCTGCACGTTCTGCAAACGGGATAGCCGTCTTCTATTAACTGTCCCTCAGCATTTTTCAGAAATCCCAAATATGCCCATACTTCCGATTTAGTCTTCTTTGAGGGCTGATGGATGTCCTGGGCGCTGCCGTCGCCTCCTTCGGCCATTATTTCAGCTTCAAAGTTTTGGTGCCGTTGCAAATTAAAAAGTGCGTGTGCGCGCAGCGGGAACTTCAGCTGAAGCGACGGTGGCTGGTAAGGGTCATCGCGCCGAAACCGCGGCCACGGTAAACCCACCGAGATAATATAGTTTTTTAAAAACTGGACGGTTATTTTTATTGTCAACTTTTTTACCGGGGTTTACCGCTATACCGGTTACCGTGACAACCCTAGTAGAATACATGTTAAAGTACTGTTCTCTGTACTGTTCTGAGAACCTGCTCCATGTGCAAACACCTGTGGAAAGCAGAAGTATAAAAACAAAATTACATTTACATACTGTCAGTGAAAAACATGTGACAACAGCAACAATAACTGTATATATAATTTCATTATTTACTGAAGTCCTCACTGTGAAGCCACTTGAAGTGTGCTCGTCTTCTGAAATATTCAGTAGACACAAGGTCTCTGAACATGGAGCACACCAGAGCCAGTTTGAAGATCGCTGCATCCCCTTCGTGAAGAACAACCTCTTCCAATATGTCCATTAGGACACGTTCTGGTAACTGTGACATTTATGTCAGGTGACAATAGTGAAAATACAAAATTTGTCCATAAAGTTTCAGAAATATGAGGACTGGAAACACATTACATTGAGTAGTGTTTTCATAACTATTACTTCATTCTACTACTGAATAATGTCTATGAAGGAGCTGCCTGTGACCATAACTACTAATTCAGTTATATAAATAAATTAAAGAAACAGAAAAATCAATAGATTACCTCCAGTATAAGACACCTGTCAGCCTCAGCCTTTAACAGGAAACATGATTATCACATTAGACTGAAATGAAGACTACCACCATGTATGTAAACCTGCATTGTGATGAATAGTCTCAACATTGTGTGGTTCTGTCCTACAAATAGTTATCTGATTATTGTCCTCTCTCACCGGTCTGATTAGACTTGGTGAAGGCTTGGAGGAGGTTGCCTTTGGTACCCTGAAGACAGGCTGGAGAGTCCCCTGGAGGAGAAGGGATGCTTCTTCTGTCCAGAAGGCAAATCTTTGTCCATGCCTTTAGAAAACAATGCCAGTCTGAATGGACTCTAGTTGTGGACTGCTGCTTTCTTCAGTATGTTCAGTCACAGGGTTTACATTAAGCCACTTTCACATACATCTGTCTGACCTGATGTCTTGCCTGAACCAAAGCTGCAAATATGATGGTGCCAGTTTGTCTAAAGTGCCTGCCATACCCCTCAATGCCGAATCCCTCCAGCAGCTGAATACACCACCACAGGCGAATTGCTGGCATTTCCTCCTGAAGACAAATATAATATAAGGTTTATGAAGACTGGACACTGGCACAGATACTTTGGTGGTACTGTCTGAAAAAGCTTACCTCTGTGAAAGATGGTGGAGATGAGGTGCAGATGCAGAGAGCATACTGTAAAGTAAAATCAGTCTTTAACATGTTAAAATGTTATATTCAAGTAATGGCAAGAAAATTCTCACCATCAGCATAAAGATGCCGTAGCAATTTCCCATGAACTGCTGGGGAAAGAACTGTAAAAAGAAAAATGTTTCATTAAATGAGAAGAGCCGACATGCACCAGCTAGTTTTTAACTGCATTATTATGCACCTGATGAGCTTTCAAACTTTTGCACTGAAAACATACCTCAAGGTCTCTTCCTGTTTTCTCCATCCAGAATCCAGAGTCAATGAAGCCTGCTACTCTCCTGGCATTGTAGAGAACACACATAACACACCAATCAAATGTTTGCCATAAAACAAAAATAAATTCATGTTGTAGGGATGCAACAATACTTTTTCAAACTGATACGATACAGATAACTGGATCCGAGTACTTGTTGATACCAAGTACTAGTGCTAATAATTCTACCACACAATGGAATGGAATGAATCGGAAGGCAGTTTTATTTTCTGCAGTGCTTGTTACAAATAATGGTGAATTAGATAAAAAAAAACATATGAATTAAAATGACCACAAAATTCAAAGTTCAAGTGAAAAATAAACATTTTCTGTGAAAGTTTTGCAGTTTCCACATTTAAAGTATCGGTTCATAGTATCAGTTAACTAAACTATGCAGATACAAGTTAATTAGAACAGTATTGGCCTGGATATCAGTATTGGTGCATCCCTATCATGTAGCCTTAGAACGAGGCTGCCTCCCAAACCTTTAAGCCTAAGAACGAGGCTGCTTTTAGACGATCTTTCCAAAGAACACAAGAGGCCATTGAACAAGACCAGAACAAATTTTCATTTTAGTGTCAACCTAAATGTGGTTCGGTAGAGATCATCTCCAAAACCATCAGGGCGAAGTGAGTCCAGAAACAGTATCTGTCTCTCAGCTACCAATATAGCCTGAAATAGACATGTTAGCATCATCCATGAAAACACGACATGTCAACCTCTGTTATTTTCTATCAGATGAAAAAACACAGAGCAAGAAAGATCAAGGGCACTCACACAGAGCAGATAATGGTCAGCTTCACCTGCCTGCCGACTCCAAGCAGGAAAAAGCAGGATGTCCTTGGACCTAAAGTTTTCCTACATGTATTGGTACAAATTAGTAAACATGCACATGCAGGAGTAAAACCAACAAAAACATACCGGCAAGCAACGCAGCAGGTTGACTTGTGGATCCTTCCAGGTGGCCACGACATCGAGGTCAGCAATGTGAACATCTTTTCCCTAAAGGAAACACACACAAAACAGCAAAATCAATACACAACAACCATTCATGGCTATAACCAAAGAAAAGGTGTACCAGTACGACAGATTACATGTCTTTGTGCAGCTTCCCCCACAACCTTCAGACAAGCGTTCCCAATCTGAAAGAAATAGCAAAAAGCTATAGAATGCAGTTTCATTTACTATTCTTAAAATCTTACATTTCATTATCTTTTCTCTGCAGTGCACTAGACTAAGTAACAAGATGTACTTACAGTAGATTCCATGGACTGTTCCAAACCCAGGCTCCAAAAGTCTTCCCGAGTTAGGCAGATTTTGTCTTCCTTCACTAGGAGTTCTCCTGGAGGTCGGTTTTGGCCCAAGACATATTCCACCTAAATGAAGAGCATTTCATGTGATTTTGCTTCAATACAAAATAGAAAATAATAAAGATTAAAAGGGCAACTACAAAATAAGGCTGGCATTGTTTCTCATGCTTCAGCAATTCTAAAACTATCATCGACTTTGACTTATTGAGGTCTAACGTGACTGCATAGAAATGTGCCGTACCAGACTGGACTGAAGAGGGTCCAAGTCTTTCTGCCACTTTGCTCCTGGGCTGGCATACTGATGATCAATCTGCCATTCAGGAGTCCCATATAAGTGGTCGAGAAGAAACTTCCCATCAGTTGGTGGATCTGATAATATACAAATATGTGGCATGACATACAAACTTAAATCCATTTTTAACATTAAATCAATATTGAACTGTGACTTCTTATTACTTCTCATACTGTATGCTTACTTTTTGATCTGTGGTAGTTCCTCAGCCTGGACACGTTTACCTTCTGGCAAGTTGCTCCCTTCACAATAGTGGCCACCCCCTTTGGTGTGATGCTGGCCACAGTGTACGGTCCTTGGTGATGGCTGGAGAATGCATCTCCCGTGCGTCTCCTTTTTGGATCTCCTGACAAAAGCACGTCATCGCCTGCTTGAACAACACACTGCCTTACTAGCTTCCTTTTCCGTGTTCCAAAGGTCTTCCTCTGGGTGTCCTGTGCCCTCTCAATATTGCGAAGAACCTACAAAAACATTACATGAAAAGCAGAGAGAGAAATATAAATATTTATTATTCACCAGGCCGCCATGGCAATGCTCATTCTGGAAATATAGAAATACAGAAAAGTTAGCTACTAAAGCAGAAAAAATGTTGAATACACAATAAAAAATGAGAACTGTATTAACCACATTTCCCCTTTTTTCCCTTGACAAATCTCTTTTCCCTGTCAGTCAGCCCTCTTCAAATGTACAGACCGTTTCATTCAGAACCGTCATCTCCTCAACTCTTGTGTCGATGTCATCTTCTGGGTCTGCAACCTCAAAGTCATTGTCCATGGGACAGGCGTTCATCACAGCAGGAAGACGTGGATGTCGGTGGAAGAGCAGGAAATAGGGACTGTGGCGGGTGGAGTGCTGATCACACAAAATCTCTCCCCTTAATTCATTTTCTCTTGCACTTGTCAATAACTTCTTTTTTTATAAGCTTAGGTTTAAACACATTCTTAAGACGACGCTACACTGTGAAGCAGCGTAAAAGTCATACAAAATGTCAAAATAGGAATACCTGCTTTGCAGTGTTGATGCCGTACACCACAGCAGCAAGGTGAACGTCCCAGTCATCGTGGTTCTGGTTCACGTACTTTCTGAGAGCACGCTTAATGTTCTCCTTTGAGTTGTATTGCAGAATAGATAAAGAAGCATGACTGATTTCACATGAGTTACTCAAGGTTAGATTTCCAAATGCTAACCTGCCCGTTGGTCTGGGGGTGGTACGCACTGGAAACAGCATGTTTAATATTCAGCATGCTGAAAATGCTGTCGTTGAGCTGCAGTGGCATGAGCAGACTTGGTCTAAATACATCATCTCAAATGTCAAGGTACGACTAACACTTTCACAAATTTTACCTGGTTCACAAACTCCTTTCCTTGGTCAGTGATGATCTTCCTCACCATGCCAAACATGTATAACTTAGAAGTCATGACTGCAGAGACCTCAGCAGCAGTCTTAGACTTAAGAGGTTCTGCAGTCACCCACTTCGTATACAGATCGGTCATGGTCAGGACATATCGGTTCCCTAGACGTGTTTCTGGGAGTGGTCCAATTAAATCCATGCCCAGCACCTCCCAAGGTTCTTTTACCTGCAGGTCACAGAACTTATCAAGTGAAATTTTAAAGCTAACCTGCAGCAGACAAGCTTATTAACTTGAAAATTAAATGTAAATAGCTTTAAGATGTACCTTGATGGGATTTAATGTTGGTGCCACGGTCTTGATTGGGTCATTCATCTGGCAGCGATGACAACATCTGACCTGAAAGGCGTATTCCAAACAATATGTCTAGGAAACCCTAAACCAGCTGATGTAAATTGATAATAAAAAAAAGACATAAACTAATGTTGAAATTAAGTGTGCAAGTAAACACATTCAATTATATAGCCTACAGATGTTTTAGAAGAAATTATGACGACCTGATTTAGCTTCTTCACTCAAATATGGCCATTACCCATTCAGCGATGTCCTGGTTCAATGTTGGCCAGTAATAGCCAGCAACAACCCTGTTTCGGGTACCTCTGACACCATTGTGGTTCCCGGTACCAGGGTTATTGTGGCATTCCATCAAAACAGACTTCTTCTCCTCCTCTGACATGACTACCAGGCACATGCTCTGCATACTGGGGCCAGTGTAGAAGAGTCTGTTGTCTGGAACAAGATAAAAATGAAAAAAAAAAAAAAAGATGAGAGTTGCTGACTAAAGTAAATTGAAATGTCTGACAGATATTAAAGTTTGAGATCTGCACCAATATGGTACATTTACCTCCAATTGCAATTATCTTTAATATATATGATAATATGATATTGTATTTACGATTTTTTTTTATCTAATATAAGACCACATACCAAGATGTAGACCTATATATAGAGTTTCGATATTACAGACGATGCTACACTGTACACTGATATTACTCGTTACACCATCCTGAATCAACGCAGGCGTCATGTAACTTTAGAACAATAACGGAGTCTGTACCCTCAAGCAGCAAGGGCAGCTGTAGACCACGATAAAAGATCATCTTTAATTTTCGTACTTACCTTTAAGTCTGTAATTAGGCGCCATTCTTCTTATTTTACGGCGCTTTTGTTCAATCGCCGGAAGCTCTCAGTTGAGGAGAAAATCATGAATTTCGTTGTAAATGGAGGTATCCATTGTTTAAACGTCCCGCAGTCGGTAACTGTCGCAAAGTTGGCAAAGAGAGGAAGTGAAGTAAAATTCGCGCATGCGTGGTACCGATCGGGTTTCCGGTACGGATCGGGTAGCGACACTGCCAGCCCGTGTCCTCAGGCTGCGTTTATTGTGTGATCGGCTCTGCTTCAACCGTGCTTGGGCATTTGTATCAGTGTTGGGTGTGATGTCATCGCTTGCCTACTGAATCCTCATTGCTTCTGGGCAGAGAGTTCCCTTCTGTTCAGGCGTTATTAGCGGGAGGACCGGCTGAGTTAGGAGGTGTGGGGTGTGGCCTCGGAGGTGGTGGTCCTGTGTGCGAGTGTGGTGGTGCTGGGTTCTCACGTTGGTATGAACGCTAACTGCCGGAGGTGAATTCTTTATATTTTCTCTTATTTTTGCCGGTTGGGGCTTCTCTGCCCCGAGTCATCTGCCTCCATCACTAGCCTCAGTCCTGCTTGTCAACACATTTTTGTTTGGTTTAAATTGATTGGTTCTGTTCCTGTTGTCATTAATTTTAGCATTTTTATGATATTTTACATGGCCAGTTCTTGTCTTTTAAGCAGTCATTTTCAATAAAAGAAATTAAATGAATTGTAACTTCTGAAACTACGTCTCTGTCTGAATGAAGTGGAATGAATCTACATGCTTTGATTCCTTGGGCGAAATTCCCAAGGTGGTGTTAACAAAATTGCACTCGCGCAGGTACAATTGCCATACCTGGCGTCAACAGGTCATAGACCACTCCTGTAGGGCTGCAACTAACGATTATTTTCATAATCGATTAATCTGTCAATTATTTTTTTGATTAATCGATTAATCTGTTTGTTATTGTTTAGCTATTTAACCTATACAAGTGAAGGATGCATTTCAGTTAAGAAAAAAAGCATAAGAGAATTGTGCAGTTGACTGCAATCTATTTTATTGCACATGAACACAGTCAGCAGTATAAAATGAGCTAAACAGTGCAAAATATCAGTCCAGAATAATTTTTTAGCATTAGCTGGAAGCCTGCTCCTTCCACCATGGATAATGGCCTCATGTCTTTTACCAGCATGTATAGAATAGAGTTTGTAAGTGGTATGAATTGCTGGGGGGTGAGTGTCTTGTTCCCCATGTAGTTGTCCATTGTTGCTTGTTTTTTTCTGCATAAGAAACACAAATAGACTGAAATAAGTACACATATAAAATAAAGCAGCACACACACTACAACACTAAATCAATATTATATTATTTGAATTAATTAACAATATACAGTGATCATTTATTTTGAGGGTTACGTTCTACAAAATAGCCCGCAACAGGAGATATTCAGAAAAGTCTAATTTTTTTACTATTAAAAAGCTCTGAGTAAGAAGCTCATGAGGTTTTTACTTTGAGTCGGGAGTGTTTAAATTAGCTAGAGAAATGTGAAAAATGTTTATTTTGTGTAATACTGTTTAAGAAACATGATAAAAATGTGTTGTGAGGCGTTTTAGAGCGTTAGATAGTAAAACAGCCTTTTAATAGTAAAAAAAAATGACTTTTTCTGAATTTCTCCTGTATTTAAAAATTGAAAGCGTACAACTATGCCGCGTTATATTCACCTGGACACAGCTCGTCTGTATATTTTTCTCCGCGGAGTTGTCCTTTTTTGAATGAGGAACATAGTTATGGGTTTGTGCCGTTTTTCTCTTAACGAGAACATTCTTATAAACAGACGTGCTAAATTTGGCAAGCGCATGATACACAACACGGAGATTCACGATTGCATCTAGTCAATCAGAAGTAGAACAACGCAGACTGACACGGCAAAAAAACATGTTTAACATCCACTATAACGAACTCAGCTAAAACATTAAGTCCAGCTTGTTTATTTTCTGTTACTTACCGGGCTGGCTCTTCCAAATGACGGCTCACTTGATCGCTGTGCGCTTCCTCTGCTGTATCAGCCCCCACATGCTTTCGTCTCAAACGTTCTCTTAGGGACGTCGTGCTTCCGTGCCATGCTAGATGGTTTTTGCATATTTTGCAGGTCACCCGTCTTTTCAAGGCATCTAGAGTGAAGTGCTCCCATACTCGTGAGGTTTTTGTCCGGGGTTTCTCTTCAGTTTTGTCGCTTCTATTTTTCTTCTGTATTTCTTCTTGTTCCGCCATCTCTCACAGCAAGATGAGCGTCAGTAACGTGATACGTCATGAAAACCGAGGGCACTCATTGGCTCATTTCTTCTTCTACGGCTCCACTGGTAGATCAGTGGCTCATTACTGCCACACACTGGCGGCAAATTTAACAGCTTGTAACCGATGTCAGATTGTGGTAAAAATAGACTTTATGCGGTAAAATGTGATTATTAAACAACTAATCGATGACTAAAAAAGTTGTTAACTATTTTAATAATCGATTATAATCGATTAAATCGATTAGTTGTTTCAGCTCTACACTCCTGTATTGCCACAGATATAAAAACGATCTCTGCATCAGTCACACGCAGCTAAGCTCACCATCTGTATGAGTGTCAGAAGTCTGATAAAATCAGCTGTAAAATAATGAAAACAACAGTAAAAATGCTCCTTTGATTTTTAGAGTCCACATCCAGAAGGCTGGAGCCGTGTTTCACTGACAGGCTGTCAGACCTGATGAGCTCAGCTGGGACAAACTGGTCTGATGTTTAGGTAAGTGAAGATCTGCTTCTCCAAGGCCTTGAGATGCTAGTAAAAATAATGTAGCCAGTGCTAATGTTACTTTTCTTCTCCTCTGAGGAACACAGAACGCTCAGATGTTGGAGCTTCACGTCACCTACTGAGGACCACCAGTAAAGAGACGGCGTCTGGACCAGACCAAAGTGAGTGATGACACTTTAGCCCTACACCTCAGCCTCTAGGAGCCACCCTCATCATCATTAACTCATTTACTGCCATTGGTGACAAAAGTTGTCCTTTTAAAAGGAACCCAGGTTACAAAAATTTCTGTGGTTCTCAAAAGATAAATCTTAGTATCAGTTATATTAAAATGGTGTAAAAAAACCTTCTTGATGTCTTAATCTTTATAAAATTAGTAAAGATAGTTTAACTCGTAGGTCGCCATTGTTGTTAGCGGCGCACTGCACTCTGGGTAGTGATGTCATATGGTTGTACCTCGGTTGCCCCGGCGGCTTTGGGACCCTGTAGTGACTGTTGAGCGACATCAACATGTCATCTGTTCAGCCTTTTCACTTTGCACCAGAGCGAAACATTAATGATGACATCACTGACCATGTTTCACAAAACAAGCATCAACATGAAGAGCAAGAAGGGCGGGATGAAGCGAGAGCAGGACAGAACCGGTGGTGTGTGTGCGGCAAATGCGTCTCCATGGTAACCGAGAGGGAGAGAGCTCACATTTGTGTCAGCAGAAGTTATGTGTAAGCTATCATGTGATCAGATTTATTCAATGATGAATGATTTAGGTGAATTTTAGCATCCAGAGCTGTCGTGTGCTTCATAGATGATTAGGATATTCAGTGAAACCACTTAAATCATTGTTGCAGATATTATATATGTGGACAACACTGTGTTGCTACACTTACTGCTTGTTTTACTGACGGGAGAGGTGAATGTTCAGCTTCATCCGTGACGAGTGGCGTGTCCGATGGTTGGCTGAGCGTGACCGAAGCGGCAGCTGCAGGAGCGGGTTGTCGGCTCAGGACAGCGTCCAGCGTCTCTCGTCCCTCCGAGGGCGTTTAGGCTCCTTGTGTGGGAAAATGGTCGCTAAAGCATTTAGTTTCCACCTTCTCTTATACCCAGCCGCTCTGGTGAGCTCTTTAAGTAGTCATGGTTGACTTTAAGCCTCAAACGCATCAGGAGTAAAATGTTGGGAACACAGCCACAGATCTTTGGGAAGTTGTGTCCGTCCACTGGCATCTTCCCTCTGCTTTCTCCTCTTGTTGCCAGTGGGAAAGCTGTAAACTCACTTCACTCCCCTTGTTGCCCTCTGACTGGAAATTACATCCAAAAGCAGCACAATGCGGCATTTTACTTAATAATTAATACGGTGGGAGCGTAAACAAACACTAGCGTCAATAGCTATTCTTCCATCGCCCCCACAGTGCAAACATGGCGACCTACGTATGTCAACAAATGTACTAAATATTACAGATTTATAAATAAGCAGAAATATTTTGTGTGTTTCTAGCAACATAGTTTGGTACAACAGAAAACTTGTGGCTTATCAGGACACACACATCCTCATAGCCGGTGTTTGTAATGCCCGGGCCCAATGCCCCTGACGCTACTGGTTACTGACGTGGACGAAGTTTTACATGTGTTTAAAGAACTCGCAGCTTGAATGTGCTGTTAACATGTTTATTGCTTTGTAAGTGTCCATGATTCAGTTACACAGGCACAATTTTATTTCTATATGTTTACCTGCCCCTGATTGTCCGTGCGTTTGTGATCACTCAGCCACCCAGTCCTCGCCACGCAGTAGAAACTGCTTGCGCCCCGTGTCAGCAACACCTAGCGCTCCCAGATTAAGTAAGCGGGAGTGGCTACCACTCAGGCCCTGGGCCTGTCACTTGGCTTAGGAAAAATACAAATCAGACAATACACTAATGGCTCCTACAGCCAGAGTTCCTTTTAAATCCAACCGTTCACTGCCAAGTAGCATTTTTTTACTGTGTGGGCATCGGAACGAGCCCCGCACCGTGAGAACAAACATCCCAGCTCTAAAGCCAATCTTCATCCGCATACGTCACATGATCAGGAAGCAGACATCCGTGTGTTAGGAGATCGTTTTGGGCCGCTGCTGTGTAAAAAATGAGGCGCGAACCGGATAAGCTTCTGCCGATCACAATTCAACAACGGATTATAAAAGAACGGATAACGCTCGAAACATGCGGATTCTTCCTGATGTAAGTGGGGAATCTCCTTTTTGTTTTGGTTGTTTTGATGTCGACATCATCCTAGCGCGCAACGTTCTGTGACTCTTAAAAAAACAGTAAAAACGTTGAAAAACACTGGCAGCGAAGGGCTTTACCGATCAGGAAACAGCTGGCAGTGAATGAGTTAAGAACACCACATTTCCTGAAAAGAAGAGATCAAATTGTGATAATCGATTCTAATTCTTGAGAATTGGAATCGAATCAATTCTTGAAATTTGAATTCATGAAATAGAATAGACTTTATTTATTTCACAGTGGGGAAATGTGCTTGTTACAGCTGCACCAACACTTAAAAGAATAATTAGAAGAATAAATAATAACAAAGGTACATGTATGTACTAGGGCTGTACGATTATGACCAAAATAATAATCACGATTATTTTGATCAATATTGTAATCATAATCATTCAACCTATCTGGTAAAATGTGTTTTTATTGCGCCAATTGCAAACAATGTTGCAACATTTTTCTGTGAAAAATGAAACTTTAGAATAGATTATAAATAATGCTAGACCACTTTTAAAAAGTGCTAGCTAAATGTTATTGCAGAGAGCAATCTCAAAGTGCAACAGAAAGAGTTGCAGCTTATACAGAAAAGACCTTCGTAGGGTTTGTGGCCTCCTACGTAGGGTTTGTTGCGTCCTGCCTAGGGTTCGTGGGTTCGTGGCCTCCTGCGTAGGGTTAGTGGTGTCTTGCGTAGGGTTTGTGGTGTCCTGCGTATGGTTCTTGGCCTCCTGCGTAGGGTTCGTGGCCTCCTGCGTAGGGCTTGTGGCCTCCTGTGTAGGGCTTGTGGCCTCCTATGTAGGGTTCTTGGCCTCCTGCATAGGGGTTGTGGCCTTCTGCATAGGTTTCATGGCATCCTGCGTAGGGTTCATGGTGTCCTGTGTAGGGCTTGTGGGTTCCTGCGTAGGGTTCCTGGCCTCCTGCGTAGGGCTCTAGGCCTCCTGATACTTGTTGCTGATTTGTTTGTGGAGCTGGTGGTGAGAGGCAGCTTATAGCCAGGGATTCATCTGGGGATAAATCTGGGTGTCGTGGGGGTAATGAATCAAAAGGGTCAATTTTCACCATCAAATTGACACAGTAACCTTCCATACACGCCAGAGCTACAAAGTCGAGGTTAAGGTTGGTTTATGCTTGACGCACCCGCGAGGTCCGCACGGCTCCGCGTGGAAAAGTTGCGTGATTTTGCATCATTTTACCAACCACGCCCCTCCGCGTGGCCCAGAATTTCCGCAACGCGCACCTCGGAAAATTTCTAACCACGCGGACGGACGGACGCAGAAAAACATGGCGGACTGACAAGAACTAGTATGGCAGAGGTTCGTAAATACAGACATTTGTATGATTCAGCTCTCAGAGATCACCGTGATCAACATGTTGTTAATAATTCTTGGAGAGAAATAGCTCGCACTGTCAGAAAATACGAGAACGCTGTTAAAAATGCTGAAATGCCGTGTTGTAAACAGTCATTTCTACTTCTACTATGGTGTAGTGTTGGGTGCATGCCGTAGAGCTCCATGCTGCCCCGTTCAGTTTGGGAGAATATTGGCTCACCGCAGAGACAAGCCGCACGAACCATAAAAGCTGCGAGTTGTGAAGCGTGTTCCATCCGCGAGCCGCATCACCAAGCGGAAAGTGAATGCGTCCAGCTGGTGTAAACCAAGCTTTACACCAGCTGGAGTATTCAGACGCACAAATCAACCTTTTGCTCACTTATTATTCTTCAACGCAGACATGAATAAACTTCCAAGGTCTCCCACAAAAACCTTATCTCTGCTAAAAGTCAGACTGCTGGATTCCTCACTCTGAATAAAATTGAATCCACACGAATCCTACAAGGCTTTTACAACTTATCATATAAATAATCATATGTGATGAATGAACAAGATGCTTACATCAAATGTTTGAATAACCTGTGCTTAAATCAATGAATATGAAATGAATTTTGTTCTTACAATGATCCATTTATATCACAAATCACTGTGTTTGATTTAACAAGTTAATCATCATCTACACTCATACACATCTTCATAAGATACAAGTTAAGTTTAAGGTTCACCTCACATAACGTTTAAATATTCTTTATTCACAGAATTAAGAATCTTGTATCTGAAGGAAGGCGTGGCTTTCTGAGGAATGTTTTGGTAAAGCCTTTCAGACATGGCACATTCTGATTTGCCAGAATGGCTGGAAATCATAACATTGTGGTTTATTAAAACAAGAATTGCTTCCTGATTAATTCAGTTTCCAGCTGACTCCCAATTCGGCCAAATCGGGAAAGAAGCCTCTTTTGAAACCATCTCCTTTGACCTTAAGTCAAAACCTTTCTGCGACGCTGCAAGTGATTACAGACACAACAGCTCTTTCAGAGCCACTTCAACTCTGACATCCACCTTGGACACCCAACCTGCAGACCCCAGGTTGCATCTCATGGCGGGGGAAGCTGAACTCAGAGGAAGCTACTAATCTCTTGAGTATCGTGGTTTCGACGTCCGGGTACCTCACCACTCTGACCGCAACCCTCCGGACCGCCGGGAGCAACTCATACAAGGTTATCATAAGCCTGCATACTGGTGTCTGATGAGGTTTTATAAATAAACAACTCTCTAGTTTATTATAATTCAATTCAATGTTATTCATATAGCGCCAAAGCACAACAAGAGTCGTCTCAAGGCACTTCACATAATAAACATTCCAATCCAGGTCAGTTCATTAAGGCAATCAGAAAAAATGTTTCCTATATAAGGAACCCAGCAAATTGCATCAAGTCACTGACTAGTGTCAGTGTCTTTACAGCAATCCTCATACTAAGCAAGCATAAAGCGACAGTGGAGAGGGAAACTCCCTTTTAACAGGAAGAAACCTCCAGAGGATCCTGGCTCAGTATAAGCAGCCATCCTCCACGACTCACTGGGGATCGAGAA